GCACACTAAGGAATGGAATGTGGTACAAATATGCAACCCTAGAAATGTGTACCCCATATAGGCTACCCCACTACAGCCTACTGAACATTATGATTTGACACACCCCCATAGGCAAAGTGGGGGAGAACAAGGGGTCACAAGACCAGTCAAGCAGAACAAAGCAAAGCTCAGGGTGGATCAAGAAGTCACCACACATTCCGAGCACAAGTTCAAGGCCAGAAGGCCAGTTCACATGCAGGAGCACACACATATATATAAAAGGCTAAACAAGCAAGTTCAGGAGTATACATATGTGACAGTACAAGCAAGGTCAAGAAGTGAGCAAGTGAGGCAAGGCAGGCACAAGACCAAGCTGAGTACAGAAGCGCTGATGATCACAAGGCGCAAGTGCCTTAGTGAAGATTTCAGCAGTGTTGGCCTCAGAGGCCACATACGCAAGTCGCAACTGACCACGCTGCTGCAGCTCACGAGCAAGAAAGTAGCGGAGAGCAATGTGCTTTGTTCTGTGCTCCAGGCGCTGCTCCCGACACAAGGCCAGCATGGCCTTGTTGTCTACGTACAGCACTGGAGGAGATCGAGGCGGCTCTCCGAGGTCAGTCAGCAGGTAGGTGAGCCAGCGAAGCTCCTGAGAAGCCATGGCTCCTGCGTAGATCTCAGCCTCACAACTGGAGGCGAGAACGGAAGACGAGCGAGTAGCCCTCCACGAAACAGAGCCGGAACCAAGGCTGAAGGTGTAACCCTGTGACGACCGCTGTGTAGCCTGGTCGTCAGCCCAAGAAGCCTCTGCGTGCCCAGTGAGGACCACTGGACTCTGCCCTCCAAGCACTAGCCCCATGCCCGACGTACTGCACAAGTAGCGCAACACCCTCTTCGCTGCAGCCATGTGCTCCGGTCTGTGTCTCCCAGGAGCAACATAGCGTGCAAGAATGCTAAGAGGGTATGCAAGGTCAGGTCGTGTGCAGGTCATCAGGTACATGAGGCAGCCAACAAGCTCTGGGTACGGGCCACTCGACTCTACGGACTCATCCGAAGGCAAAGCTGAGAGCGAGTGGCGAGTAGGCAGAGGAGTGGCCTGAGGCGAGGAGTACGTGAAGCCGAAGCGCTGAAGGACCTGCTGCACCATGTGTGACTGAGTCAGGGTAATGGTGCGGCGTGCTTTGTCCCGGGTGATCTGCAAGCCAAGGTAGCTGCGCAGTTCACCCAGGTCTGTGCACGTGTGTCTCTTCTGCAGCTCGGACTTCACGTGGGCGAGTCCAGCAGTGTCAGCAGTGGCAAAGACCAAGTCGTCGACGTACACGAGGATGTAGAATGGCGGCAAAGAGGTGTCGGTGCGTAGAAACAGCGACGGGTCGGCAGTAGAGGGAGCAAACCCAAGAGCCGCAAGCATAGTCCTCAGTGTGTTGTGCCACTCATGCGGTGCCTGGCGGAGACCGTAGACTGGCCGCCGGAGGCTCCACTGGGTGCCAGTAGGAAAAGTCCCAGTGAAGCCAGGTGGGCGGCGCAGCCAGATCTCCTCGTGCAGGCTACCCTGCAAGAAAGCAGTGCTAAAGTCAAGAGAGTGAAGGTCATAGTCGCGCTGAGCGGCTATGTGCAGCAGCACCCGAAGAGTGGTCATCTTCGGGGTGGGAGAGAAGGTCTGAAAGCAGTCAACTCCCTGCCGCTGACTGAAGCCACGAGCCACGTACCGCGCCTTGAAGACAGGTGGAGAACCTGGCGACTGCTTCACCCTGAAGATCTACATGCCACTGACGATGTTCGCCCCAGGTGGGGAAACCGCGTCAACGTAGGTGCCCGTGGACTTCCAGGAAGCCATCTCTGCATCCATAGCTGCCTGCCACTGAGAGGAGTAGGGACCCTCTACGGCCTCCGCGTAAGAGTGCGGAGTCGGGATGTCAAGTGCATCCGGGTCTCCCTCAGGGGTAAGCAGTACGGACACGAGATGAGGTGAAGCAGCAGCCAGACACTAGAACTCCTCCTACCTGTCCTCAAGGACGTCCGTGCCAAGGGCACACTCACCCCCGACGGACGGAGGACAGACAGACTCAGACTCAGCGACAAGACTAGCAGCGTAGTCTAGACGACAGCGAGCAGCAAAGTCGACGAGCTCAGCAACTAGGGCAGACACAGCAGTGGACTCAAAAGAAGGGTCAGTGACGACAGTAGCAAGGAGACGCGTGACAGTAGGACTGGCAGCACGAAGAGAGTCCGACTCCGGGTCGGCAAGAGCAGGAAGAGAAGACTCAGGAGGAGAAGGCAAAGGGGCACGCAGAGGAGCAATGGACGGACGCAGAGACATCCGGTGTGTGCCAGGGACAGGAGGAGGACGCTGACGCGAACTGCGACCACTAGTGCGAGCAGCACGGACAGGCAACGCAGGGTGAGACGCAGGCTCACGACGCTCAGCAAGACCTCCAGTAGGACCAGTGTAGGGAGACGGAGCAGGCAGTGGGGAGGCCGGCTGTAACTGTAACTGTGACGGGACAGGCTGTGGACACTCTAAGGGAGGAGGAGGACCAGTAGAAGACGGGAGACCAAGAACCTGCTGAAGGAGCAGAACGAAGTACGGCCGAGGCCGCGCGGCAACTCTAGACACACCAGGGACAACACCAGCACCCCCAGTGGCAGCACCAGCACCAGTAGCAGCTCCAACTCCAGTACCTCCAGCAGCACAAGTAGTACCCCCAACAGGACCGCCTCTAGGACCGACAGCAAGAGCCTCCGCGCCAACACCCGCAGCAGCTCCAGCTCCAGAAGTACCCACAGGCCCAGCAGCTCCAGTACTCCCAGTACGAGCACCTCCGAGACCCGTGGCACCAGCTCCCTCAACAGCAACAGAACCTCCAGTACCCGCAACACCTCCAACTCCAGCAGCTCGCCTCCAGCGCCGGGCAAACCACTCACGCAGCTCCTGTGGAGAGAGTGGCTCTCTGCACGACGAAGCACCCGGAGAACCGCCAGGCACAGCACCAGCAGGCCCATCTCCCTTAGGCTCCGCACCTCCAGGCTCAGTACCACCGCGCGTAGCACCCCCAGGCTCAGCACCCCCAGGCTCAGCACCCCCAGGCGTAGCACCCCCAGGCTCAGCACCCCCAGACTCAGCACCCCCAGTAGTAGCACCCTCAGGCTCAGCACCCCCAGGCGTAGCACCCACACGCTCAGCACCCCCAGAGTCAGCACCCCCAGGCTTTGCACCCTCAGCAGCACCAGAGTCACCAGTAACCTCGACAGGCTCGACTACGTCTACCTGGGACACACCTGAAGGGGCAGGACCCTGAGGGGGGAGGGGGTCTACCGGGGGGGGACCTGGCACAAGGAAGAGCGGTGGCGGGGGGAGGGACCGAGTGCGGTAGGGGAAGAGGCGGTAGTAGGGGACCGACTCGTCAAACGTGACGTCCTGGGAGGACAGAACACGACGAGAGGTGGGGTGGTAGAACTGCCACCCTGGCGCGTCAGTGGGGAAGCCAAGGAAGACGCAAGGAGCAGCACGAGGGGACAGCTTGTCCGCAAACAAGTCGCAGACAAACGCCCGAGATCCCCAGACACGGAACGCAGACGCATCGCCTACCTTCCCCGTCCACAGCAAAGCTGGGGAGGTCTCCGCCATGGAGACCCTGGGGTGAAGGTTGATCTGATGCGCCGCATACCGAACCGCAAACGGCCACAGAAAATGGGGGGCAGCCGCATGCATCATGGACGTACGGGCGACGTCCATGACCATGCCAATGCGGCGCTCAGCAATCCCATTTTGCTGTGGAGAGTCCGGAAGCGTAAAGGTCTGGCGGATGCCTCGCGCACGACAATAGGCTCGCAGAAGGCCAGAAGAGAACTCTCCGCCTCGGTCAGAGTGCAGACGCAGAACAGGAAAGTCCGAGCCGAAGCTCCTCTTGAGCTGGAGACGAGCTGCGCGGATCCAGTCGATCAACACCTCAGTAACATCACCCTTGCTGCGCAAGGGGAAGAGTGGTGTAACGCGAGTAGTCGTCAACCACCAGCAGGAAGTAGCGCTCGTGACCCTGTCCACGGACGCGGGCCGGGCCCCACACGTCCATGTGACGTGTCTGCAACGGGGCCTCTATTGGGGGAAACTGAGAGGAGTGAGGGGCAGCCCGCAGCCGCCCCTCGACACAGGGGACGCAGGTAAGGCCAGGCCCCGGAGGAAGGGGAGGCAGGGACCGGGGAAGACCAGAGACAAGGACACGGGAGGCCATGCCTCGGAGACGAGGCAGGGAGGGGTGACCAAGGCGGTGGTGCCAGAGGAGAGTCTCGTGAGACAGGAGGCGACACGAGCAGGGGGCAGACCCAGGACCAGACCTGGACGCTGCAGCAAACACCTGACCCGACATAGCTACCTGACCAGACGCAGGGACAGGAGGAGACATTGTGGTCAGGGTGTACAGGCTCGACCCCGGCCGACGCGTAAACGTGGCCAGGTGCCGGCCTGTGCGAGCGTCCGAGCAGTAATTCACCCGCTGACTCGCAGAAGCAAATTGGTGAACCCCCGCATCCTGTAGGTCAGCACCACTCACCAAGTTCGTAGAGAACGAGGGGAGGTAAAGACCAGACAAGTTTCCAGAGGGGGCCGCCGGACACGGGAGGACAGTGGAGAAGTGAGAAAGGACAGGACCCCCAGAGGGGTCTGCCAGGGAGACTGCAACCGGCCGACCAAGCGGCGTGAGTGTGGTGTGGTCTCGAAAGAAGGAGCGAGAAGCCCCTGAGTCAAGAGTGAAGGTGAGGGAGGCCGAAGTCGGCGCGGTACCTGCGAGCGCAGACTCACCAGCACCTGAGGACGCAGACGCACTGGCACCTAGAGCAGCAGCCTCACTGGCACCTAGAGCGGCAGCCTCACCAGTACCTAGAGCAGCAGTCTCAATGCGCGGGTCGGGCGGGAAACACCGGTAACAGTCACCCTCATTACTAATAGACACAGCATACATGGCAGAAAGGATAGCATCAAAATCAAGATCATAGATGGCAACTCCCGCCCTAGACAGCTCGCCCCAATGAGGGATCTCTGTGGTCTCCGGGAACTGGTGACACCACGCGTCCGTCAGGCGGCCAAAGCAGCGCTGGGTGGGGTGCGCACCCCCACACTGCTCAACCGCAAGGTCGCCAGTGCGCAGGACGTAGGTGCACGGACCAAAGCCCCCACCCCGCTGGCGTGCAGTGTGCCACTCATGGAGCTGCTGAGGGGACAAGGTCTCACGACCGCGCTGCTGCTGCTGGCGTGGACCACCACCGGAGCCACTCCTCTGCGTAGACCCGCGACCAGCTCCACCGCCACCCCCGCCGCCTCTGCCGCCTCCGCCGCCTCCGCTACTACCGCCGCCTCCGCCGCCTCCTCCACCGCCTCCACCTTTGCCACCTCCGCTCCCACCGCCACCGCCGCCGCCGCCTCCGCCTCTACTGCCGCCACCGACACCTCCACCCCCACCTCCACTCCCACCGCCACCCCCACTCCCCCCGCCGCCTCCACCTCCACCTCCACCGCCCCCGCTCGCTCCTCCAGTGCCCCTGCCCCTCTTGCCTTTGCCATAGCGGCGTCTCCCGCTAGGGGCAGACGCCGCACCGACCGACTCAAGACCAAGGAGGTCAGCCGCAGCAGCAGAGGCAACAGAGGGCAGAAGGGGGGAGGGGGAACACCCCTCAAAGATGGGGGTGCGCGGGTCACCACGAGAGGCCCCTACAGCAACTATGCTCTTCTCGGCCGCTAGAAGGGACTTCTCGAGGAGGTCAACAGTGAGAGTGGTGGGACAAACTGAGAGGAAGTGGTCCCTGACTACGCGAAGGGAGTCAGGGAGGCGAGTGACTATGTAGTAGAGAGTGATGTACATGGGGGGGGGTTCTTGGCGCAGAATTCAGCAGGAAGCGCAGTGCGGTAGCGAGTTTCACTAGTGCGGAGGTGCGTAATGAGGTCAGCGACTGTGGGAAAGGCAGCAAGGTCAGGGAAGAGGTACGGTAGCATGAGACGGCTCAGTACAGCAGTGGCAGGGGAGGAGTAGCGTGCAACTACAGCGTCGTACAAGGTCTGAGCACTCTTGTACTGACTAAAGTGCGCACGCTCAGAGTTAGGGAGGTGGCGACGCACAGCAAGACGTGCAGCAGCATCGCGCGTGGCCCACGGTGAGCAAACAGTGGCGTTAGCATCAGCAGCAGGAGCAGGAGAGGCACCAGAGGTGAGGTCAAAGATGGAGAGACCGTCTGCCCTATCGCACTGTAAGAACAGCTGCAGGTCATCTACCCAGACGTCAAAGTCAATGGCTCGACCCTCGGCGTCAAAAGCGAGGACACTAGGGGTAGCCATGTCAACAGTAGACTAGAAGCGCTGACTGTAGAGCAGGGGCAGTGTAGTGACAGAGGCGCTGTGCTCACCAGACAGGGCGGTTCGGGCAGTTCGGGCGGCTCGGCAGCAACTGCGGCTCGGCGACACCCGCGGCTCGGCTCCTCACCTGCTCAGGGGCTCGGGCGGCTCGGGCGGCTCAGGTGGAACGGGTGGCTCGGGCTGCTGAGCGGCGCGGGCGGCTCGGCTGCGTAGGCGGTTCGGGCGGGGCCGTAGGTAGGGCGACGGGGCCGGGTCGAAGGTAGGGCGACGGGGCCGGTGCGCATGTAGGGCGACGGGGCCGGGGCCGGGGCGCAGGTAGGGCGACGGGGCCGGGTCGAAGGTAGGGCGACGGGGCCGGGGCCGGGCCGTAGGTAGGGTGACGGGGCCGGGGCCGGGCCGTAGGTAGGGCGACGGGGCCGGGTCGAAGGTAGGGCAACTGGGCCGGGCCGTAGGCAGGGCGATGGGGCCGGGGCCGGGCCGTAGGTAGGGCGACGGGGCCGGGTCGACGGTAGGGCGACGGGGCCGGTGCGCAGGTAGGGCGACGGGGCCGGGGCCGGGGCGCAGGTAGGGCGACGGGGCTAGGGCCGGGGCCGCAGGTATGGCGACGGGGCCAGGGTCGCAAGGGGGGGGGGCGACGGGGCCGGGGTCGCAGGTAGGGCGACGGGGCCGGGGCGCAGGTAAGGCGACGGGGCCGGGGCGCAGGTAGGGCGACGGGGCCGAGGCGCAGGTAGGGCGATGGGGCCGGGGCGCAGGTAGGGCGACAGGGTCGCTAGGGCGACGAATCAGGGGCCGCGAAGGCGGCGCGACTTGGCTGCTAGGGCGGCTCGACGAAGTCAGAGAAGGGAGCGCGACTCGGGCAGAGCGCGCTCCGGGCAGGAAAAAAAAAAAGCTTTCGACTTGGTGGGACCAAGGCACAGTTCCCACGAGGGAACCTGCTCGATACCATGTGAGAATTGAGACGAGAATGAGTACACTAAGGAATGGAATGTGGTACAAATATGCAACCCTAGAAATGTGTACCCCATATAGGCTACCCCACTACAGCCTACAGAACATTATGATTTGACAGATGCCGGCCGGTCGTGACGTTTTAAATTTGCGCCATCATTTTCTCCTTTTTTTCACCCGCTCCGAAGTCGCCACGTCGTCGCCTTTTCCTGCTTTTCGGATCTTTACGCGATCGCCAGGTTGATCCACGGCTACTGGCGATTCCTGTTTTTTTACTTCGGGGGTGCTCCAATGTTTCCGTCCCGGAGTGCCGCACGTGCTTTCTTCATTTTGTAGCACGACAAAAATTGATGTCCTGCTGCGCCGCAAAATTCGCATTTTGTCGGCTGCTGCTTCGCGTCGTATTTGTCGACATCCATCGGTTCGGCGAACGTGGGGGGTGCTGATCGCTCCGTGCTGAATGTACGGTTCGGCGTGAAGCGTCGTGTTTCGGGTTGACCTCGAGTCAGCGCGTCGTATTGCTCGGCAGCACGCACGATGTCTCTGTAGCTGTTGTAATTCGCCGCAATCACCTGCCGCCGAATCTCCATTTTTAACCCTTCGGTGTACGCCTGGATTTTTTCGCCTTCGGTCAGGTCGGTGATGCGGTTGAACAGTAAATCCATCTGCTGCGTATACTGTGTTACACTACTGTATTGCTTGTGTCGGTGTATCTGCTGCCGCGCCATGTAGGTTGTATTAATTGGTTCGAAACGCTCGATTAAATCTGCCCGAAACTGCTGCCACGTTTTCTCCCCGCGGGCTACGTCGGTGTAGTAAATCCATTCGAGAGCCGGTCCACGTAACAGTGTCGCTGCGAGCTGAATCCTTGCTGCGTCGTCTTGCGGGGTCGAACAGCCAATGGCCTCGAAGTAAATTTCAAGGGTGGCCACGAATCGCCGGACGTCGGATCCCTTCGCGCTTGGATCGAACGCCTCCGGGAGCCTCGGTCGTGCTGCTTCGAGGTTCGGCGACAGTGGTGCCATTGGTTCGTGAAATGTCGGTGTCGCCACTGCTGCTGGAGTTGTCGGTGCTGCAGTCGCTGCGGTCGCTGCTGCTGCGGTGGCGAACCCTGGTTGGCTTGTCAGAAAAGCCTCGAGCCGACGAATCGTCGCCTGCGTCTGCTCCATGTCGGTGCGGAGGCTCGCGATGTCGCTCGTAGTCGCGTAGTTGTCGCCTTGGCCCTCCATGCCTGACATCAACGCGTCCGAAAAACCGAATCGAGGGGGAGCGAAAATCACGAAACCGGTTTTACGTACCCGAAATCGATGTTTGACACCGTCGCCCCCACGGTTTTTGAAGACTGGGTTTTAGCGGTCGAAAGAACTTCGCGTGTAAACGGGCTCTGATTACCAAGTGTGAGGATCTAGGATCGAGCTCAGAAAAGAGAATGAGAATTGAGTCGAATTGAATTATCACCTGGGTACAACACGAGGCTATATATAGGCTTGACACAATGTCAGATTTATATGACATAGCTATTGTAGGCTATAATGGGGTAGCACATATGGGGTACAGCTTTATAGGATTTGTACTTGTACCCAACTTTCCCTTAGTAATTTCATTCTCGTTCAATTTCACATGGTATCAGAGCTTGTTGGCTGCCTCATGTACCTGATGAACTGCACACGACCTGACCTTGCATACCCTCTTTGCATTCTAGCACGCTATGTTGCTCCTGGGAGACACAGGCCGGAGCACATGGCTGCAGCGAAGAGGGTGTTGCGTTACTTGTGCAGTACGTCGGGCATGGGGCTTGTGCTTGGAGGGCAGAGTCCAGTGGTCCTCACTGGGCACACAGACGCTTCTTGGGCTGACGACCAGGCTACGCAGCGGTCGTCACAGGGTTACACCTTCAGCCTTGGTTCCGGCTCTGTCTCGTGGAGGGCTACCCGCTCGTCTTCTGTTCTCGGCTCCAGTTGTGAGGCTGAGATCTACGCCGGGGCCATGGCTGCACAGGAGCTTCGCTGGCTCACCTACCTGCTGACTGACCTTGGAGAGCCGCTGCGTTCTCCTCCAGTGCTGTACGTAGACAACAAGGCCATGCTGGCCTTGTGTCGAGAGCAGAGACTGGAGCACAGAACGAAGCACATTGCTCTCCGCTACTTCCTTGCTCGTGAGCTACAGCAGCGTGGTCAGCTGCGCCTTGCGTACGTGGCCTCTGAGGCCAACACTGCTGATATCTTCACCAAGGCACTTGCGCCTTGTGATCATCAGCGCTTCTGTACTCAGCTGGGTCTTGTGCCTACCTTGCCTCACTTGCTCACCCCTTGACCTTGTTTGTACTGTTGCATATCTATATACACCTTCTCTTGCTTGTCTAACCTTATATATATATATGTAATCCTGCATGTGAACTGACCTTGTGGCCTTGAACTTGTGCTCGGAATGTGTGGTGACTTTGTGATCCACCCTGACCTTGCTTTGTTTTGCTTGACTGGTCTTGTGACCCCTTGTTCTCCCCCACTTTGACTATGGGGGTGCGTCAGATTTATATGACATAGCTATTGTAGGCTATAGTGGGGTAGCACATATGGGGTACAGCTTTGTAGGATTTGTACTTGTACCCAACTTTCCCTTAGTCATTCTCGTTCAATTTCACACACAAGGCCCCGTAACCAGGTGTTACGCGAAGGTTCCGCGGGTTGCTAAGCGTCCCGAACAGATCCTTACCGAATTCGGTAGAAGGCAATTCGGTGGCAACCGAAAAGCCAGAATTCGGTGCACGCAACCTAGCTCGGTGCTATAACTAAAATAAAATATAGGAAAGCACCTAGCCTAGGAAGTCAAGCAATTCATGCATGCATATGATTATCCTATGCTAGAAATAGCATGATAAAGTAAAAGCAAGCAAGCATAGCTGGCATAAGCCGTCGTACTCTCACACAACTCATGTGGTGTGGAATCGACATTCGCACCAATCGGAAGGAAAAGACCTTCGAGCTCTTCCACAACGAAACTTACATCGGAAAGGCGATTGATAACGATGGAGTCTTCGTGCTGCAATTTTTGGCTCAGGGCACCACCGGCGACTCCCACCGCACACTGCTACTGAAAACCACTCCCACGCAGCCGCCGTCATGGTCACATCCAGACGAGATGGACCTCGAACGACCAGCCTCCGACAACTTGCTACTGAAAACCACTCCCACGCAGCCGCCGACATGGTCACATCTCGACGAGATGGACCTCGAACGACCAGCCTCCGACGGCCTTCTACGCTTGCGCACTGTCCCGACTGCCTCGACCTCCAACCCTGCAGAAACCGGATCTGCCACAATGGAAGAAGATAGCGGCACGTCAGGACCTGCAACTCAATCAACCGAGGAAAACAAGACAGCGGAGACACACTGGCCGGGCTGGAACACTTCCGAGCCCGCGCTCGGACCCTGGGGAGAAGTACTA